GCTTAAAACATCTTTATAGCAGCAAAATCAAAATGTGCCAAAGATCTTCGTAAAAAAAACTTTCCGTAACAGCACCATAATCGATTTTGTAATGTGATATATGTTTTTTTCCTTTATGCCAAAACCAAAAACAGTGTATAAACAGAAAGCATGCTACATTATCTTCATTATAGAATGCATAGATGCTTCACCATTGTGTGTGTGTATGTTGAGTCAATGGAAATACGGTCAATGCTTAAGGACGATTTATGAAACAGTGTTTAATTCGTTTCGGTTATTCTGAATGTCCCTTGAGCTAAGATCTTATCATAGTTTTCGTTAGTATTATTCCGTAAGTCTTGGCGTTTCTAGAAGGAGGCGCATCCACATTCGAACAGTTGACCGAGAAAATACATGTTCGCTTGTTTCAACTCAAGCAACTACAAGCTAGGTGGTTCCAAAGAGTGTGAATAGCAAAAGTCAAAGAACCGACTCAGTACACGAGCTGTGTATATAAGGTATTTTGAAAAAACAAAATCTTTTTCGTTTGAACTAAAGCCAGTTAATCTCGCTCTACTTTTATTTTTGACTATGCAGTTTTTTTTCCCTTCTTTTTGTCAATACACGTTTGCTTAAACTGTATGTGTATGTATAGAGAAAATGGCATTTTTATCCTTTATCACTAAATCAAAGTTCTTTGTGGGTTAATGAGGCCTCAACACTGTGTGCATGTGTTGTGTGTGAAAGAACTACAGTTGTACACACGGTTTTTTAAAACTTTGTTTAGAATCTTTAATTCTATATTTCATACACATTTTGAACCCCTTCTCGTGCAAAATGGCATACCATGTAGATGATAACTAACACATAAACATACATGCATTTATGTATAAATAAAATGAAGTAATTGTGAAGACATTAATTTTTACTGTAGTTTGATTGTTTATAACTGCAGAAAAGGAAGACAAATACTGGGTCCAGTCATGTTTATAACAAGAACAATATATCAATATTCAAACCGTGTGTAATCCCCGAGATAGAAGTGACGTGGTCACATGTAACGTCTCGATTTCTTCCTTAATACTTCCCATTCTCTCTTAGCATGATCTATTGGCTGGTGTGAGGGTGTTTCATTAGCCGTTTTCAAACATTATTATTCGGCCAAACATTTTTCGTCGGGTTTGAGTACCATCCCTTGCTTGGCCATCGAAGGACCTCCGCTTGGTGTTAGCGAACCACTTCGTAACTGCCCTAGACGTTTGTATAGGGCATTTATCCTGCGCAAATGTCACTGTTTCTGGGAAAGGCAAAGACAACAGCGTACTGATGGAAGTCTTTTTTCAGAAACATTTGTCCAAGAGGCATTTTCCCGTTTCGCCAACTTGTAGGGAGATCCACTCCCAAACCTTGCCGGTCACATGGCCACTCGTCGCCGTTTCATAGATAATTTGTCTGTCATGTGAACGAAAATAATGATACAGAATCCGAACATGAAATAAGACGTGTATGACACTACTATGTATAAACAAATATCTATATCACAAATCGAAATAAATACATTTGTGAAATATTGGGAAGGGTTAACATGTACATCACCATTTATCCCATCCAGCAATGGAGCTTGCCGTGTATTTCCGATGAATATTTTATCGTTACGGGTGCCCTCCTCTTCCCACCTTATCTGCCTGTATACCATCGTCCAGCTCTCCGAATATATCTCTGCTAGAGAAATTACTTCCCCCCCCCCCATTGTAGCAGCAACTATTTCCGATTACAGCTTGTTTTGCGTTCATCCTGAAAAAGGTGTCAACTTGGTGGCCTCGTTTTGATTTCGGATTTCCCTTGTTATTATGGCGTTTTAGACTGTCGGACATTTTATTATTATTATTATTATTATTATTATTATTATCATGATTTTGCGTATGTTAGGTTCAGATGCGAAAGAGATATTCAGGAATTGCTGAATATTCACTGACATAAAAAGAAATGAAATATACGACTTTGTGTTATTTTCTAAATAGTTCCTCTCTCTGTAAACTACTCAAGTTCTGGGTGAACAAATAAGCTTTTCACTCACCGGCAAATTATTACTTCTAGGATAATGCATAAAGAAAATTAATTCGATGTAAAGGTTTGATATACTATTCACCCTCCTTGGAACCACCCAGCAAGTAGTTGCTTGAGGGAAAACGAGCAAACATATTTTTCGAATGTGGATGCAACCCCTAGAGAAACGTCAAGACGTCATAATACTAGCTGATTAGACTGTTTCATAACTCATCACCAAGTATGCCTTCGTATTTCCAGAGGCGCTGCACACACACACACACACACACACACACACACACACACACACACACACACACACACACACACACACACACACACACACACACACACAGATTGATAACGAATCTATATACTCAGTGTAGCCTCACTGTGATTTTGTGCTTAGTTCATGCTCTACACTGAAGAACCTAATATAGCATAATTTCTACTTATCCAATATGTATTTAGAAAAAAAAATCATTAGCTCGATTAGCTGCTACTAGATGGTGCAGTCACCAAAAGTATTTACCAGAGTCTCAGGGGTTTTACAGAGATAGGTTATTTAGTTGCCATGCATGGATGTTTAAAGCATGAAACTTTTCCCATGTTTCATGAAATATGCAGCTATGATTTATTTTATTTTTATGTTGAAAGAAGGGGGAAATGCCGCCTACCCATCATGTGTTGCCGTTTCGATAAACAAACTATTCCAACACTACAAATCTTGGCATCACTTATTTTAAGAAAACGAAAGATTAAATGGGTTACTTAGTTTGCAAACGTATTTATTAATACAGTAATTGGTTCCTTATATTCAACCAAACACAATCTTTGTTTCAAACTATCTAGGTTCCAGCAAGTGCATTGAAATATAATTCCGCAACTGTACATATATACGTGTATATATATGTATATATAAATATACATATATACATACATATGTGTGCATATATATGTATATATATAAACACATCCACGAACACACACACACACACACACACACACACACACACACACACACACACACACACACACACACACACACACACACACACACACATATATATACATATATATAAATATATATATATATATATATATATATATATATATATATATATATATATATATATATATATATATATATATATATATATATGTATATATATATACATATATCAATGAAGCACGTCTTGTCTTATTGAAAGTGTAAATGATTACTTTAATTGAGAGACAGATTGATTGTTTTAGATAAAGGAATAATCATTACTGCAATTATATATTTCTTCGACTGTATATAATGGATAAAGCATACCCATCCCAAGGCGCCAATCGAATTCTATATTTTTCTTAACTGTCAAAAAAAAGAGAGAAATCTGCTACCGACCTTTAGAAAAATGAACTTAATGTAGCTATAGAGGAAAATGAGGGCTCTCACTCTTCATAATAACCATGGAATTGATAAGGTAGCGGACCGTTATATTAATGGCTGCCCAGCGGTAGGTATAGTGCGGACTGTTATTTGTGCTTTATTTACTGACTTTTACTTATGTTATTTTAATCTTGCAGGGCATTGCTATTAATATTCCGTGATTATTACTAGTTACAATATATCCAGTGTCTATAAGATGTTTTGTAAAACCTACATTTCAGCACTTACCACAGCAACCACCTACTTGCTTACTACTACTACTACTACTACTACTACTACTAACACCCTTGCCCACAGACTCAGTGTGTCCTTGCCTAGTTGTTTCAAGGGGATCGTGTGCTTTTTTTTCGATTTTCCGACTTTTCTTGCCGATTTTGATGAAACTCACACCCTAGCCTGATCCCTGTGGTAGATTTTTTTTCGAAAGCACCCGAACAGATTTTGAATTATAATAATAATGATAATTAATAATAATAATAATAATAAATCAAAGGAAAAGGAATAAATGACTTAAAAAATGATAAAAAATAAAAAAATAAATAAAATAAAAAATAATAATAAATAAAAACGCAAAGAAATTGCACAATCATTCTGATCGTTTTATTTTACAAAATAATACTTTATCTAGGGAATGTAGGAAGCACTTTTTCGATTTCGAGGTTTTATTTCATATATATATATATATATATATATATATATATATATATATATATATATATATATATATATAATATATGTGTATATGTAGAATACTGCGAAATTTTAACTATTTGATTTCTTAAAACGAAAGAAAATCTGATTTAGTTGGTAAGTATCCAAGGAAAGTCGTTCAAACCGCGCGCCACTACCCATACTCCTTTGCGTGCGATATCGCTGCGTCAACTCTTGCAGTTTCCCGCCAAAAGATAAACCAAGGGAACTGCTGTCTGTACTGGGTGGGCCAAATGCCTTTTTCCATCCTTTTATTTTGAGTGACAACGACCGTGGAGTGGATTTTATGAAGAAGTTGGTTTGCAGTCTTTATTGGGATACAAAGTGAGTGTTAACAGTGTGTATATTTAAGGTTATTATACTTTGTTGTTCAGCGCCGCGGCCCCCCCAACGGTAGTGTTTTGTGACATGTTCAATGGCAGTTGTTCCACAGCCAACCCCTTTTATTTTCTGATGTTTTGCTTTAAATGGGAATGCCTTGTGAAGATTTTATTTCTTTCAATAATAGGATAATGTTTGTCAAATTCTGATTTTCATATTTCGCAATGTGCTGATGCTCTTCGTATATAGATTTTGCATCTCCTGTATTTTGTTTTGTTTTATAAAATTCATGTTCATTTCTATTGTGCGTTATTGGTTTCTTATACGGGCTTGTTGTTTTCAGTTCGAATGCTTCTTGTGACTAGGCTGTAACGAAAATAAATGTGGAACTACACAGAAGTTATTCTGATACCCTTGAATTAAGACTGCATACTGCATCTAACAATTCGAATTTTACCCATCGAAGAAGGGAACGACATTACAGCGAACTGTCAGGTAAGCCCACATCATGGTCGACAATAGAAGTAATACATCTGTGGGCACATCACACAGTTGCAAGTCTTCCCGCTCAGAAATATCAGTAGCTGAGGAGGAGTTAGAACGGCTTCAGTTCATCAAAGAGCAAAATGAACATGCACGTGAGGAAGAAAGACGAATCTTTGAGCTGCAACAGAGAATTAGAAGGATGAAAACCTCATCAGAACCAGCCAGGTCAAGACCTGGCTCCTCTTGTGGAGACAGCAGAGAGGATGAGAGACACCCTCGCCCTCACTCCTTTAACAACATGTGTAGCAACTGGATTGCAACAAGCGTAGAACCCCATCATAAAAGTGGAAATCTGGACCCACAAGTGAGTCGTGAAAGTGAAGTCAACGTGACTGCAGGGCCAGTCCACTTTGCTGTCAATGCCGCCATAGTCCCTGAAACTCCTCTACCTAAATGGTCAACTCCAGTCAATCCTGTACTAAATGGAGCTAATATTGTCCAGGGTAAGCTCCCATTACACCACTTACTACCATTCCAGAACCTAATGAGAACCTATTGACAAGGAGTAACCTACATCCTTCAGCTGCTCCTTTTGTGAAACATCAACAGAGTACCTTGCTGCCATACCTCAGGCCATGATTTCACCAGCCATCCATCACCTTCAAGGCCATTGAATATGGATGAAGTGGCTCAGATGGTTTGTGCTATGAACCAGTCAGTTTTAACCCAACAAGAACAGGCTCGCATATCATTACTCCCTCCAGTTAAATTAGAACGTTTTGATGGAGATTTTTCGAAATTCACTCAGTTCTGTAGGACATTTGAATGGAATGTTGAGAGCAACACTAATGATCCAAGGCGAAGGCTCACACAGCTCTACAACCAGTTGGATGGCCCACCAAAGGACCTTATTGAAGGTTGCCTTCACCTACCACCTGACCATGGATATGACGAAGCGTGGAGGATGCTGAGAGAAGAATATGAAAACTCCAGTGAACTCCTCGAGTCCTTCATCTCAAAATTATTTGCATGGAAAGACATTGAAGTTGGAGATGCAGAAGGTCTAAAGAAATACGGCTCCTACCTATTTAATGTAGAGATGGCCTTAGGTGATAATATCTGCCGGATGGAGTTGCGTGAGACAATATCTAAAATTGTTGGTAAGCTACCGAGATACTTGAGAACCAAGTGGGCCTCGAGATGTGTAGATCCTGGCACTAAATCTGCAAGTTCATTCTCTGCACTTGTTAAATTTGTTAAAGATCAAGCCAGGGTAGCAGAGGAAATACGTTATATTGAAGCAGGAAGAGGTAAGCCAAGTCACACGACCAATAAACCCATCATCATTCGGAAGCCTGTAAATAGTCTAAATGTCCATGCTCTGGATATGAATGCAATGGATATGACCCCAAGTACCAGCGATAAATGCCACTGTTGTAATGGGCCAAGGACATAAGCTTTTTGCATGTTATAAGTTCGGCAGGAAAGATGTTGACGAACGATGGGATATTGTCACACACAACAAGCTATGTTTTCGCTGCTTAAAACCCGGCCATGGCCATCGTTTCTGTAATGACAAGAGCCAGTGCGATCGATGTGGTGCCTACTATCACCACACACTGTTACACCGGCCAATAGCAAAGAGTTTTGCACCATCCCGTAAGTACAAGAGATCTCCAACTGGGAGTGTTGAGGTGTTCAGCAATGAGAACATACCTGACTGTTACGAGAAATTGGGTACACCTAGTTCCTCAACTGGGGGTGGCATAGAAGCCAAGGGAAGTGTGACCCCAAGTGTTAATTCTCCATTAACAGATGCTCTACCCTGTGCTAATATTCTTGATTGTGAGCCTGATGGGAGGATTATGATGAAGATCCTGCCTGTCCGAGTGAATAACAGCGTCTCCACTTACGCCTTCATAGATGGTGGTGCTGCACCAACTCTGGCTGCTCGAAGCTTAATACAACGTTTGGGAATCCAAGGCCTACCAGTGAGGCAAGCAATGAAAACTGAAAATGGAATATTCATGTGCAACGAGCGTGTACCACTTATGTTGAGCAGCATAGGCGGTGGAAATAACATTACCGTAAATGAAGTGTACATTACAGACAAACTCAGCATAACTACTGACAGCATGATGCCCGTGAACTGGACTAAAAAATGGCTTCATCTGAATGATGTGGATCTACAAAGATTGCCTGGCGACAATCAAGAGGTGGAACTTATAATTGGACTCAATAGCATTTTGAACCGTCACATACTCGACCAGAGACATGGGACTGATGACGAACCCTCAGCCTATCTTACCAGATTTGGCTGGGTTGTCTTTGGACCAACTGGCCCCAGGAACCCTTTGACTGCCCCGGTATATCATATTTCCCCAACACAAGATCTTGGCGAGTGCTTACGAGAGCACTTCAATGCTGACTTTTGGGAAAAGGAAGTTCATTCCCAACGTGAAGATTCGCTGGAAGATAAGTTATTTTCCGATAAGATCTCACAGTCCATCCATCAAGAATCGGGTAAATATGTAGTCAAACTCCCCTTCAGGGACAGTAGTCCACTTCCAAACAATCGTGAAATGGCTGTACGTAGAATGAAAAGCCTCAAAAGGAAGCTGGAATCTGACAAGACTTTCAAGGAGACATACATCACTCAAATGGAAAAGAATATAAGTAAACAGTATGCTGAAATAGTACCTCCATCAGGATTAGAACGAAATGATGGTAGAATATGGTACATGCCACATCATGCTGTGCGTCATCCCACTAAGCTGAAGGTACGTGTCGTCTATGACCTTAAAGCTAAATTCAATGGCACTTCCCTAAATGACCATCTTCTTCAAGGGCCAGACCTCACAAATCCTCTAATAGGGGTACTCATGCGGTTCAGGCATGGTCACTATGCAGTCACAGCGGACATCGAGGAGATGTTTTATCAGGTCAAGGTTCCCCTAGAGGATCGTGATGTGTTCCGTTTTTTATGGTGGTCAGATGGTGATATCAATAAGCCTGTAAGTGATTACCGAATGAATGTTCATGTTTTTGGTGCTAGATCCTCTCCTAGCTGTGTAAATTATGCCTTAAGGAAGACTGCTGAGGACCACGGTGAGGTTTTTGATGAACAAGCTGTCACTGCCATAATACAAAGTTTTTATGTTGATAATCTCCTGCTGGCCCATGATGACAAAGAGAGACTGATAAAAATCATCAAAGATCTCATTGCTCTCTGTAATGCAGGTGGTTGGCGTCTGAACCAATGGACAGCCAATAACAAGGACGTGCTCAAGAAGATTCCTGAATCGGAGAGGGATGCGTCGGTTGCTTCTCTAGACCTCAGTAAGGATGATCTCCCAGTTGAAAGGACCTTGGGTGTACACTGGTCGATGGCCGAAGATTGCTTCACATTCAAAATCTGCCTTGGCGACAAGCCACTAACACGCCGAGGAGTTTTATCTATCGTAGCATCTATATATGACCCACTTGGCATGGTGGCGCCCTTGACACTGCCAGCAAAAATGATTCTTCAAGACATGTGTCAGATGCAGTTAGGCTGGGATGAAAATATGGGTGATAAGGAAGCTGCTCGTTGGAGAAAATGGTTGGAACAGTTACCAAAATTGTCAAGATTTAAGCTGCCACGAAGCCTAGTGCCCATTTCCTTTGGTTCCGTCATTTCTTATCAGCTCCATCATTTTGCAGATGCAAGTCAGTCTGGTTATGGCACAGCCTCCTACTTGAAGATGGTAAATGCCTCGGAAAGGGTATACTGCACTTTGGTTATGGCACGAGCAAGAGTTGCACCTCTGAAACCGACAACTATTCCAAGACTAGAACTGACGGCTGCCACCGTTGCAGCTCGAATGGACTGTAAATTACGAAAGGAACTGGGGTTGAAATTGGAAGATTCAGTCTTTTGGACAGACAGCACTTCAGTGCTCAAGTACTTGTTCAATCAGAAGGCTCGTTACCACACCTTTGTCGCAAATCGAGTGAACCTAATCCGAGAACTGTCTTCAGCAAGTGCTTGGAGATATGTAGACACAAAGAGTAATCCTGCTGACCTTGCATCTAGAGGTCTTGATGTTGATACTTTTTTAACGTCTGAAATGTGGATTAGAGGACCAAGATTTCTTCATGAACCTGAATCCAGCTGGCCACAAGTTCCAGAAGATGTTAAACATGGATCACTGGAAGATGATGTAGAAGTAAAGGTGTCTGTCATGGTATGTGAGACAGTGACAACAGTAATGTCATTCATTGAGGAGTTTGCCTCTCGTTTCTCGAACTGGCAGAAGTTTGTGCGTTGTCATGCATGGGTCAGACGATTCTTGAAGCGAAAGTATGTACCCAAGTTGCCTGACGTTAATTGCCTTAGTAGCAAAGAAATAACAGATGCAGAAACACACATATGGAAATTAGTTCAACAAGAGAACTACTCATCTGAAATTGTCTCTCTGTCACGAAAGCCAGATGGGAGAGTACAAGCCTCAAGCAAGATAGTGAGATTAAGACCTTTTCTACAAGATGGCTTGCTTAGAGTAGGTGGGCGCCTAAGACACTCTGGGCGTCACTTCAATGCCACTCATCCAATTATCCTACCCAATAAGTCATCTTTGGTGAAGCTGATGGTGAGGTGGCATCACGAGAAGTTAGCTCACTGTGGTCAAACTATCTTCTCTCTGAGTTAACAAAAATTTTGGGTTGTACATGCAAATGCTGTTGCACGTTCTGTGGTAAGGAGTTGCATGAAGTGCAGGGCCATCTGTGCACGACCAATGACTCAAGAAATGGCTGACCTTCCTGAAGATCGTATTATACCAGGCCAGCCACCATTTACACACACAGGCACCGACTGTTTTGGACCCTTTCTCGTCAGGAAAGGCAGGTCAAACCTTAAGAGATATGGCATAGTCTTTACATGCCTAACATCACGTGCAGTCCATATTGAGGTCATGGACTCAATGGAAACGGATGGAAGACGAGGTCCAGTGAAGTCCATCAGATCCGACAATGGCACAAACCTGGTGGGTGCAGAGAAAGTTCTTCGTCAGGAGCTCCAGCTTCTTGATCAAACTGCCATCTGTGACACCATGTCAACTAGAGGCATCTCATGGTGCTTCAATCCACCACATGCTTCACATTTCGGTGGAGTCTGGGAACGTCAGATTCGCTCTATCAGGCGTGTTTTGAGTGGTATTTGCTATCAACAGACACTAAACTGATGATAGTCTTCACACTCTGTTCTGCGAAGTTGAAGCCATCATTAACGGCAGACCCTTGACCAGAGTTACGGACGACCCTGATTGCCTGCAACCACTGACTCCGAGCATGCTGCTGAACTTGAAGGGTTCACCTGGTCCAGTCATGAATACCGATAACAAGAATCTGTATGCTCGTCGGCGCTGGAAGCAGGTGCAGTACTTGGCTGACCTCTTTTGGAAGAGGTGGTCTAAAGAGTATCTACCTCTCCTCCAAGAGCGCCAAAAGTGGAACATTAAACGGCGTGATGTCAAGAAAGGAGACATAGTTTTAGCCTTGGATGAGAGGCTGCCCAGAGGTACATGGCCTCTTGCTCGAGTGATAGAGGTAATGTGTGATAGTGATGGACATGTGCGCAGTGCTAAACTGAAAACTGTCAGTGGAGAATATATCCGGCCTATTAGCAAGATGTGCCTTCTCTTAGAAAGTGAGATCAATACTGAAAACTAGGGTGAACGCCGAACGCTGCCCTTATCGGAAATGTTGGATTAAAAAGATTTTGCAGTATTTTTTTGTAGTATCAAGTAGGTCACTTAATAGGGGGCGGTGTAGAATACTGCGAAATTTTAACTATTTGATTTCTTAAAACGAAAGAAAATCTGATTTAGTTGGTAAGTATCCAAGGAAAGTCGTTCAAACCGCGCGCCACTACCCATACTCCTTTGCGTGCGATATCGCTGCGTCAACTCTTGCAGTTTCCCGCCAAAAGATAAACCAAGGGAACTGCTGTCTGTACTGGGTGGGCCAAATGCCTTTTTCCATCCTTTTATTTTGAGTGACAACGACCGTGGAGTGGATTTTATGAAGAAGTTGGTTTGCAGTCTTTATTGGGATACAAAGTGAGTGTTAACAGTGTGTATATTTAAGGTTATTACACTTTGTTGTTCAGCGCCGCGGCCCCCCCCCAACGGTAGTGTTTTGTGACATGTTCAATGGCAGTTGTTCCACAGCCAACCCCTTTTATTTTCTGATGTTTTGCTTTAAATGGGAATGCCTTGTGAAGATTTTATTTCTTTCAATAATAGGATAATGTTTGTGAAATTCTGATTTCCATATTTCGCAATGTGCTGATGCTCTTCTTATATAGATTTTGCATCTCCTGTATTTTGTTTTGTTTTATATTCAAATTCATGTTCATTTCTATTGTGCGTTATTGGTTTCTTATACGGGCTTGTTGTTTTCAGTTCGAATGCTTCTTGTGACTAAGCTGTAACGAAAATAAATGTGGAACTACACAGAAGTTATTCTGATACCCTTGAATTAAGACTGCATACTGCATTATATATATATTTATATATATATATATATATATATATATATATATATATATATATATATATATATATATTATATATATATATATATATTCTTTTACAAGAATCACAGGAAAATATCGAAAATTCCACTTCCTATATTCCATAGACACATTATTTATCTACAAAAAGAGCCCTAATGCGTTTATTTTGGACTAAATTTGAGGTAAATATACGTTTTTTTTTTCTCTATCTCTTTTCACTACTTTTATGGTATGAAAAATAAAAGGGATAAGCATAATATTCCTACACCGTAATCTTCTATCATATATCTGCATTCCGACAGTTTTTCAAAATCTTATGTTTAGTGTTGTAGGGTGGCAGTGAATTGGGGTGTCTATAGGCCTACACTGACCATTTTAAATAATCATACAACCATTCCGATTTCGTATCTGAATGGAACCATCTTTCAACTATAATATGCGAAAACCAATCTTTAGAAGTCGACCTTATTATTTTTTTTTTCGCTAAATATTTTACAGACCCGACTTGTTCAACACCCTAAACATGTCTTTTGAAAATATATCACTTTTATAAGAAGCACAAGAAAATATTGCTAATCCTTATTGCAGCATGTCATAGATCTATTACTCAGCTACAAAATGAGCCATAATACGTTAAAATCGGACTGAAAATGCGTGTGGCATGCGTGAAAATATGAAGTACCGTAATGTCGCGATTATACTGGAAATATTGGTATATGATATAAATATTATTTACATTTATTGTTGTAGTAAAGGGGGTTTACAGTGTATAATACTGGTCGAAAAAATTATCGATCTCAATATTACAGTCTACGCTGATATTCGGTGGTCTGAGTGATAGAAGGGCCTTCGCGCACGCATTTTTTTTCACCCAAGCATCCGAAGTGTTTAACTCTACGGGGTCACACACCCAACTTCCACACTAACACCCGTGAAATACCGATATACAAGTACAGGGCGGCGCCAAAATATGTATATAAGGTATGTAAAGATATACATATAATTTCCGTGTATTCCATGACCTTTTTGTTTATTTATGTTGTTACTTCCGTTTGTTGATTGTTTTTTTGTTGTTGTTGTTGTTGTTGTTGTCTGGTATTTCAAAAAGTTATGAACACATTTTAGATTTTTACCAGAGGTGTGCTTTAACCTAACAGATGCCAATTACACTTTGGTGGTGATGTGGACCATGGTTTGGATCCAGGATTTTTTTTTTCTTTTCCTTTTTAACTCTAAAAGTTATGGACAGATTACATTTTTATCTTTTTTTTTATTCTTTTATTATTTAATTATTTATTTATTTATCTCAGGTGTGTGTTAGCCTAAATTATATTCCATAAGATTTTGGTGGTGATCCAAATCATTTGGCAATCCTACCCCCAATTTGGGGAGGGGGGGGAGATTGCTAATAGATCAAATTAACTATATATAATGAAACCATAAATAAAATGTAATACTCCATCTGAGCAGCATATCATCTTTATCTATTTGTATGAAAAGTTTCTTTATTGTTTTTGGACGCTTGCCAGATTTTTTTAATTATTCCGAAAAAAAAACGAAGGTTGGTCTTATCTTACGTGAAATTTAATGTTTTCAGAAAATGATCTCATTTTTTATTACATTTAATCATAACGTCACAATTGTCGATTTTCCAAGGCAAGGAGAAAATAAGAAATATTTCGGTCGACATCGAAAAGACTGCTACCACCTAAAAAAAACTGTGGTTAGGCCGCAAAATTTTCAGGAGAGAATCATAGGCCCTGAAACTCATTGAAAATGGATTAACTTGATTTCGGCAAGATGGGCGAAAACGCAAAAAAAAAAAAAAAAAAAAAAAAAAAAAAAAAAAAAAATTACCAGACAATCCCCTCAATTTGGGAAAAGAGCTGTTGTCAACTTTTTAAACTGATGCACATTTTTGGCAAACCCATTTTTTGGAACTGTTCCTGGCTTCAATACTTCTGTTTGATATCTTTGTTGCCTCTTATTACTTTAACTTTTTATCGTGTCCTCCCGCCTTTCTTTAAGATCATAAAGTCATCTTTGTCTAACATCCCTCTTCCTTTAATATAGTTGAATCGCTTAATCATGCCCCCCCCCTATCCTTTGAACGCTTTCCAGTCTGTCTATATCATTTTTAAGTGTGTCACTGCAGCGCACTCTAGACTAGGTCCTATGATTGCTGTTCGTCGTCCACACACATGAATGTGTGTATTTGTGTGTGTTTTAGCATGATATTGGGTGATTTACACATGCAGTGGCAATTTAACATAACACAAGGTTAAGAAGCGCGCCATGTGCGTATATACCTATACTGACAAACACGGATGTACGAATCGAATTTATGCACATTTATGTTTATTCTTCTGCTTGAAAGGTTAGTGGCAAAGAATGGCATATGCCTTCGGTAACGATTTACCTATAAGGAACGTGTAAAATCCTCACGTGTATATCTAACTCATACTGTATGGTTGTGTATTAATTTCTAATATTGTCAGCAACGTGCAGGATGAGACGTAGAGCAAGTTTTATGAAAACAGCAGTCTTCAGCAACCACTCTCACGTACTTTATGTTTCCCCTTAACCTCCGACGCCTCTATCAATCCTTCATCACTGGCTTGGCGATGATCCTGCAACATTTCGTACTAACTCGATTTGCATTGACGATGTTTTACCTGCAAAGATCTCGCCGAAGTAACTACGCTATGACACAACTGTATCGTGTATCTGTGTGCGGAAAGGAAGATGATTCGCGAGGAAAGAGAAATAAAACGATGGAATTAGTTGGCAACCTATGCAGATTCGTTTCTGAGAAATGGATTCGACAGTTTTTTGCCCTTCTTTCCGACCAACCATATGGGTTATTAGTATTCATGAATACTTATGAAGAGATTTTACTGTCTTATGGTTTTACAAAATCCTTACTTTTTTCACAAGGACCCTCCAAGCTCGATACTCGTATAATTACACACCACCAAATATACACATCAAGCTTGGAGATACATATTCAGCGTCGTGTGAAGTCATATTATACTTACATTTATGATCAAAATCACTACTTTTACTTGACCATCGCATATAGTAGAGGGGGAGGGGCCAGGATAGGATCCACCAACAAGGCATGGCATGTTT